TCACTTTGCGGAGACGGCTCCCTCTCCTGAGAGGCCCGCCTGCACCTTTCCCACGACAAGCCCCTCCTCAGTACCGCGCCTTTGCAGTCAATTGGGCACGATGGACTTCCCTGTTTCAGTTTCCAATCTTTGCGTGGAAGAAGGGCCTGCACGGACGGCGTCCCGAAGGTTGTCGAGGCAGTCTTTGGAGAGCACCATGGACGAGCTCAACGAGGTCAGCAAAGGGATACCAGACGCCGAAGTCAAGGAATGTCTGCCGGAACCGGAGAATTCGCTGAGAAGACCGTTTTGGCAGCTCCTGCTCATACAACGGACAATTACGTCCGGAGGCTTTCTAAACCCCAAATTGTACGTGCCACGGTTGGCGTGGGAGCAGTATGGGGCGCGCGTGAACGGTCTCAGCACGAAGATGACCGCGTTCGAGGCCGTGCTCAGCCTTCTTTTGGGCTGTCCTTTGCCGGTACAACTACTCCTGAATGCACCTGGCTCTGGGGTTGGGAAGAATAACATGCCTGCGCCCGCCAAGGCTCTAGGAACTCTAGGTCTTGAGGAAGTCGATGACCAACGTGTAAGGGAGGACCTGCTCAAAGCGCAAAAGGCTTTGCAAGCCTTTCGAGAGCTTCGAGCTGAGTTTGATGTCGTACAAAACTCGTTGGCACGGTCGTTTCCATTTCTCAGGCCTGTCGCTTCTGAGGACAGTGGCGCGCGGAGAGAGGGTATCGGCCGACGCGGTCGGAGCAGCAGTAGGCCTGGAGACAGTAGCTCCCCGGTTCCCTCCTTCGGCGATGCCTTCTCTCTCGCCATGTCGGCCGGCGGAGGTATGCAACATATACGAGGATTGATGGCGTCGTTTGGGAGAAAGATTCATAAGGGTGCCGTTTCCGCGATGACGGCGTACGAGCGGATGGGGGTGTTGGCTGCGAAAATTAGTGACGCAGAGCTCCAGTCCTACTCGGCACTGGTATGCGAAGTTTGCGAGAAAGCGCAGAGGCTGGACGGATGGTTCCTGTATTTGGACGATAGCCGAAGGATGTTGGAGAAGTTTTTGAGCCGACACGTCTCGTCATGCTCCTCGCCTCAAGCCCCAGCCGCATCCTCCTTCTCTTCCTCCTCTCTCTCTCTCTTGGAAACCCTCCGAGCTTTGCAACACTGTGTGGAAAATAGTTTGGTCGAGCTCCTGCATTGCGCCCGCTTTCTGCAGGATGTGGTGGTGGAGCTGGTCCTTCGGGACGTCGAGTCGCTGCTGGACTCTTACCTCCGGAGGGCGCGCAAGGTTTTCTCGAGAATGGTTTGGGAGCTGGAGGACTCGGAGGCACCCTAGCCGTGAGCGAGGAAGTCAGAAGTAAAAATCAAGGAAGGGGGCTCCGTCAGCCAAGGAGGTTTTTAACTGGGGCTCTGGTCGTGGCTGCGGTCAGCATAAATATGTTGATAGTTACTTTCTTTCTTTGATGTTATCTGCTAGCGGGATGCTTTGATTTTAGGCTTCTGCCATATTTCGTGATTTCCCCCTGTCCGAGACGGTGTGTGCTTTCCTTCTTTTGTCTTTCTTACTGAAATGCGCGGGTATACGAAGGGCTCCCCCGGCGTCAAAGCGGAATGCTTTGTTAAAGGAACTCGTCTTCCATCAACCAGGAACGCCTCCTCGCTGTTCCCTGGGCGTTCATACCGCAAGGTATCACCATCGAGACCAAAAATGCCACGACTGCCCGCAGCACGCGAGGGCATCCTCGGGCATGCGTCTATTGGTTCAAACCTCACATCCAGCCCCGATCACCATACTCGCACTCCCATGGTGGCGTCATAGGCCCTCGCGGAGGTCCCCAGACTCCACCGCGACCCCTTGCCCGACCAACATCGTCTTTACACCAGGAAGTCATCCCCGATATGGAAGGACTCGTTCGGGTCGAGGACGAAGGAGGGGGGCTGCATCTGACTCTCCTGGCACCCCGGCTCCGGAACTCCCTTCTTCTCGTCCCTCCGTCCCCCTTGCGCCTTCCCCCCAAATCCATCCTCGAGCAAATTGCCCTCCTGCAAGGACTGCTGACTCTCATTATTGGGCGAAGAGATATGTGGGAACCCCGTGCCTGGCGCGTCCTCCTGCATGGAGACTGCAGGGCCGGGGAAGGCTGGTATATAGCTGGATTTGGAGGGGTGGGAAGGAGGTAGAAGTAGGGGTATCCCATCTTTGATCCGCTGGTCGACTCCAGTGGTGGCGTGGAAGCACGACAGTGTGGGCGTCGCCCTTTCCGACTCATAGCCTCCTTTCCAGCCGTAGACGGCGTTGGACGAAAAGGGAGTGCCAGTGCCGCCGTGGGCGGAGGGCGGCCGGGCGTGCAGGGCCGGGAAGTGATGGGATGGAAAGGAGGGGTACCCCGGAGGGGAGTGTTGGGTAATCCCCAGGCTGCTTCCCGGGTCGTCGCTGATGTCATAAGGCTGAGTCGGACCGTCAGAGCGAACCATTGCGTGCAAGCGTCCTGGTGGATAGGATAACGAGGAGGGCTCCCACGCGGGCGCTGGCGTGCGGACGGAGACGTGAAGTTCCTTGTGCTGCGCTTGAAGGTAGTGATGGTGCTGAGGATAGAGCGGATGATGGTGCTGCGGCGTGTTTTCCTCTTGCTTAAGAGGTCGTAGATTATGCGCCGACCTTTGGTTTTTCGGTTGCGACGGCTGTGTTGGCGGGCGGCCGGATACATGGTCAGAATGCCTGGCATGAGGAGCAGCCGCTGTCGACGGATTTTCAGCTCGGGTGCGAGCCCTCTCCAAGGACACGCTCATGAAGGACGCTGCCAGGGACCCGTCTTCCCCCTCTTCTCGTTGCATCCTCTCTCTCGGACTCTCTCCCCCCGCGCGGACCCCCTCTGGCCCCAGAAAGTAGCTGTCTCCCTCCGCGCTCTTCAAGAAGTCTTCCAATGCCCCCTGCTCCAGACCGTCCAAATCCGCCCAGTCCTCCAAGCATGAGTGCTCGAAGGCCCCCCGGCTCCCACACCCCGACCCGGAGGCGTCTGTGGGTGTGGAGAGCGCGGGTTGCGATGCTGGGGGCAGAGAGAGAGGCAAAGGTGGTGGGCCAATGCTAGTACCGGCTGTCGTTGGCGCCATATTTCTCATCGCAGATTCCGCCCGTGCCACGCATCTAGTTGAGTCCTTGACTACACCGGATGCGTCCACCTCCTCTCTTCCTTTGGAGGACATGGCCCTGCCGCCGTTGTCGCCTTTGTAGGCGACATGACCGGCGCAAGGATTCAGACGCTTGGCTACCGCGTCTCCGCCATGCCCACGCCTCTCTTTCTCCGCTGGTGGATCCCTCGAGGACGGATACGAAGCCGCTGCTTTCCATGACTCCTGGTCCCCCAAATCCCGCTTCTTGGTCGCCGCCCGCCCCGTGGCTTTCTCCCGCCGTCGCGTCGAAGAGTTCCACCTGTGGCCGGGG